TGAGTGGAACTACCACATCAATTCAATCCTGATCGTTAACTTCAGCACCTATGCATCTCAGAATTTCAATGGGAACATCAGGGATACTACATTCTTTAACTCGAGTTTTTAGAGGCTGTTATAGCAAATGTATTATAATATGTGAAAGAAGTTATATGCCCTAGGAATCAAGAGCTATGAAATTTTTTTACTAATTTTTTTTCGCAATCTTGAATTGGTCTTGGTTTAGTGATTTAGCACAATACAGCATTTCTCAAAAGGTTCCTTTACCGAAGAAGGGAAGTCTCCCGGAAAAGCTGGATAAGCTTTGTTGCTTAGAAAATCGCTCGTAGTAAATCGCTTCCTAACTGGCTCATAAATGGCTTAATGCGTACCACTTCAGGCTTGGAGATGGTGTAGTACATGGCGGGTACTTGAATTACCCGCTCAAGGAAAGCCAAACGGATCCGCGATGGACATTGGTTCCGATGTCACAAGTGGAAAATGAGATACTAGAACCTCGTTTGAAAACGTGTGGATTCACAGAAGAAGGTACGAGAGTATGGAAGTATGGAAAGTGGAGGGATCCTGCTGAGGGAAATGCTTTTTTTCAGGAAATTTCGAGTGCGATATGCCACTTGGCGAATTCATCTCTTACATTCCGCTGTGGATCAAAACCGCGTTGGTGCTGTGCTTTTCCGCAATCGTCTTTTGTTTTTGTGTTATGCTCGCTTGCGGAATACGACGATTTTGTGGTGAGTTTCTTCAGGTTTTTCAACCTATATTAATTCCTCATAACCTGGTGCAGACTGCCGTACTTCGCGTAGCTGCTCTTTCTCCGCTAGCTTTCATTTTATATCGTGATTGATTAGTATTCTAACAAGAAATCGATGAATATTAGTGACATTTATGTTTCGGAGGCTTAGACATGAATATCTTGGGGACGTAAATATTATCGAATAATCGTGGCAAAGAGATACTCCTCCGTCTGGTAGCGTGGTGCATCACGCAGTCCGCAGTTGGGTAAGGTAACAGGGTAACGGACGGAATCATGGACCTCGCCCTCATAAGTCTGACGAGGGGATGTCACTAAGAACCTGCTGTGTCAGCCTGTACTAGAAATGTATCGAAAACTATTTGGATTATGGCTGTTTTCGCAGATAAGCGAGAGAGGGTCCG